ATATTTTCACGTTTCACTTTGTATATCTCGAGAATGGAATTGTTTTAAAAGAATTTGATTTCAAAGATTTTATTCACGGCCGAACGCACAGGCTGAGTGCAAATACGTGCACGTCTGTCTTATCGTTGAGCCCACCCCTCATCCGAGACTGTCATCCATCCGGGCTACGAGCAGCTGTAAACACCAGCGACAAACATAATATAACGAACGCTTGAGGCTATGCGTGAAACAAACCTACTCTCTTATAGTTATTCATACATACAGACTAATCCCTGAAGAACGTCAGTGCTACGAACAACCTGTAAAACTCTGGAGTTCCAACTTTTCCCTTACAGAATTTTGAAAAATGTAACTGATTGAAATTTCGTGAGTAGTTGTGGTAAATGTTTTGCGTCAGAAATAAAGATAATTAAATAATTATAAACATGTCGGAATAGACCAAGTGGTCAAATGGGAGACTTCAAATCAAGGAGATAGAAATTCCTCCAAAGTATGTTCTCATTTTTACGGGGTCCAAAAAAATACATTGGATACACGATCTATTTTTTTATGTTTATGAAAATGATTCACTGACATAATGAAACTGCACATGAATGGAAATTAAACCCTCGCAATTAAACGCAAGCTACGCACATATTTTCCATCACGTCTTATATTGACATGTCATTTGTCTTCTATGTCTATTGTGATTCTAATTTTTTATCTACCTAACAACATCACGTAGATACATCTATATACATCTGTTCGTTTCTTCTCTCATTTTCAACCCGTGAAATAAATAAATGACTCAAAGTATTTAAATTATTGCCAAGTCAAACAGAATTGAGACCAAACGAAAAGCAGGCAGATACTTCGTATCTGTAAATGTGAAATAATCATTAAGTGGGTAATTGGTCCAGATTTAATTGACGATCGTGCCACAAATTTCTTTTCGTAAACACGGGAACGTGACGAGACGCGGGGTTAATTAACAGCGAACCTATCGAAAAAGCATCGGAAGCGAATTGACCGCGGAGTTTTAACATTCCCGATGGTAAAAGCGCGCGCGGCTCCTCTCTGTCCTCCTCCCGCTCGAGCCACGTGCCCGATAAATTATACGTCGATAAATTAAAGCGTGTCGGCCGATAAAAATCGAAGGATGCAAAACGGGTCCAGCGACGATGGAGGCGAACGCCGACGGGTAACAGCGATTCATTTTTCATCGACCTAACCGAATTTGTCGAACTTCGGGACCGTAGCCAAGGGTGGGATCTAATTTCAGGGCCATTACGATGTATACGAGAACGCCGTCCCCCTGCCACTAACACCCCTGATCGCCCGTGAACCATCATTTGTACGAATTACACACCTCCGACGCTGGCCCCCGTTATATCGGCGATCGTTTATTATTATTAGCATCGAACCAACGCTTCACGCTTCCGCGACCTGAAGATCCTATCATTTATCCTACGGGAGAAAGTTCGCTGCAAAGATTGTGAAACTTTAATGAGCTACACAATTCAAGTATTTAATAAATATTGGACATTTTGTCGAACGTGTATTTACTTGAAAATACAGAACGATGTATTGAATTGTAGAAAGAAACAAATTGTAATTTTCTAGTACTCAGTAGTTACTGTTATTCGCAATCCTTTTTCCAAGGATTAAGACACCAGATTGAAGTGATGTTTCACAAGACTGGTGCACCTGATCAAAGTGGCGAGAAGAGAACAGGAAGGGTCAGCTAGGAGGGAGAGAGCGGGGGCGGGGGTGGATACCGGAAATTATTTAACGCTCTCGACTTCTTCTGATCTTTTCCATCAGGCAGATGAACCTAACCCTTTCATCCTGAGGAGAAGCGCATCCGCGGAGGTGGCGGCGACCGGGTCGGAGGCACCGATCCGCGACGATGGAAATTATACGCGGTATATAAGAGGAAGGTGAGAGGCCGCGTTAAAGAAATTAGAGAGATAATTCCTCGGACGAATACCCAATTTACCCTTTCGTCCTCTCGCCGTACCGAGGCGTCCTGGCCTTATTATCTAAAGTGCTCGGGCAGCGAAGAGCGGCTGACACTACGGACGGACACGGGGGCATCAGGGGGGGGGAAAAACATAATGATAAAAAGAACATGCACCCTTCTGACGCCAAGGCGAAGGTAGGAGGAGCGCGGGTCGCTAGGACAAAAAGAATTAAAAGGACGGTTCCTCCTCGCGAGCAACTAGCCGGGGATGTACGGGCGACGGCCAACTTTTTTCGGCTCCTATCATTTATTCACGCCGGAGTTATTTTCTTCCGGACTTCAACGCCTTGCATCCCCCGCCCCGGATGCTCCCGTTTCCCGTGGAAACGGGGTGAGACGCTCGACTCGCTTTTTCTTCAATTTAGTCACTTCCCCGAGTCGAACGCGCATATACGTTAGAAAGCATAGACAAATAATTTAATTATATTTATTAATTTCTTCTTCTATCTTTAAATTGCAATTGTCACTTTTTAATTTGCAAAAGTGTTGATGATCACAACTTTGGCATCTTAATTTACAGGGTTCACTAAAATTCTTTCACTGCGAGTTTTTATGCAAAATAAATTATATATAGTACCACTTTCATATTCGTCTGATATTCTATATATTTTTTATATACTCAATTTTCTCATAAATGCATAAAATCCGCAGTCTAATTACATTTAACAATTCCTCCATCTATCTTAAAATGTCAAAACTTGCTTTCCTGTGACTTTTTACCGCGTAAAAGTGTTAACGACCACAGCTGGGATCTTAAGGCCACGGGATTGAAAAAAAGCACGCATAGTAGTTGTCGATTGAGATCGAAACCAGGATAGGCCGTATTGAAAGAACAATCATCGTTCCGGGAAAATGCATTTCCCTCTGGCTTCTGTGCCCAACGCCGTTGACGGCGGTTTTCGGACACGGCCTCGTATGTACAGGCCGGCGCGTACACACCATCGTCCAAAAGAGAGGGCCGTCCGGTCCGGTTTCAGTTTAGTCCCGGTTCAGCAGACCAGGCCTGGTCTTTGTCGCTATTTCAGGGGGATGAACGCGGACCGAGCCGGGGACACGAATACGCGGTTCGATCGATGAATCACTCGGCTTGCACCGTTGACGTTGACGCGGAACGAGAGCGCGCGACACGCAAACACGCCGCCGAGTTGAAACGGTGCGTAAGAGGGAAAGAGAGATGGGGCGCCGAGCATCGTGACGAACGACGTTGAAGAGAGTCAGGGGAAGCGGGATGGAGTCCGGGGCGGTAGTAGAACGCGCTTCGAGGGGGCGGTTGGATGCACCCTCTCGTATATACGGTAGCAGCTCACCGGTTGCGGGTGTAGAGTATGCAGGTGCGGGTGTATTAAAAAGCGGGGGTGGCTGCGGTCGCGTACCAATCACCCACCGAGGAAGGGGGGAAGGGGTGGGCACCGTGGGAGAGAGCGAGGGGAGCAGGTCGAAAGGTGGTCCGCTGCTGTTGCCTGGCTCGGCTCGATGGACGCCGCCGCTCTCCGCGGAGAGGGAGAGGGATCAGAGTACAGAGGGACGGTTTGTTCCGAGAGAGAGAGAACGCCCGTGGCCGGGCCGGCCACGCAACCCCCGTGAAATTTTAATCGTGTCGTCATTGGGGTAGTTTGTTGCGATAACCCGACCAGCATGGACGTGTACGCCGGGCTTTTCCACGTGGAAACGGAGGCCGGAAAAAAAGAAAAAGCGCTGGCCGCTTTTATCGCCGATCTTTTTTCCGGGACTCCGACTTTCTGCGGCCGCCTCGCCAAGTAAGTTATTTCAATGTTAAATATTATGTTTTCGTTGGTACTAATTTGATCACGAGCTTCTTTAATGAGACGTTAAGTATGAAACATAATAACGTATCTCTACACAATTTTCTATTCCGTTAAATAAATTTATAAACGAGTACAAGATCGGTGATGCAATGAACTAAAACATATCACGATACCTCGTTCACCCAGAAAGGGATCAATTATTCTCGAAGCGGAATTTTTCCCACACCGACGACGAGATCGTTTAGCCGAGTCGTAATTAGCAATATCCGCAGTGCATGTTTTCATCGCGCGTGCAGAAACCACGGTTGAACGCGTCGTTTGAAAGATTCATGGAGACGCGTGCTGCGCGCGCCAGGCATTATTGCTCATTTGATCGCGCGAGCGCGGCGGCCGGAAAATAATGTTGAAAATTGTTTTGCGGTCTTTTTATCTCGATTCCCAGCCGCGTACACGACAACAAAAACGAAGGGTGTGTGTGCACGGGCGCAAGGGCGTGCATGCATACGGCCGCAGCGTGCGCGTGAGAGAAAGGACGCCGCGAAGGGAGGACGGGCGAGATGCTTTGTGTGCCCCCATCAATCACGCGGACCTTTTCACCGAGCGGATATCGGGCCTGGCCGTTTTTGCGTGCGGTGCATCCCGCTCGATTGCAATCGCGGCGAATTATTGAATCTGCTGCATATCTCGTCCGCTCCGGATTAGGTTGGGTTAGTTGGCGCGCGTCCGCGACTTCGCCGATTTTACCACCCATCATCCCGTCTCCCCACGGTCCGCTCCCTGTATTGGCGAATCGACCGATTCTCACCCTTCCTCACGGGCCGAAGGATATCGATCCGTGATACGTGATGGGTGTTTGCAAAATTTTCCTAGTCCATCGAACGATCCCGCGAGTGGACAATGCATTACGGATTTCTGAATCGTAACAAAAATTACCCATGGGGACACACTGGCTCGTACATGATGCGATCAACTCTGTTCTTCAAGGCATTGAAGCTAATACTATAGAAATCTATGCTGTTCTTCCGTACGAAATTAGACTGCCATTAATTAAAAATTGAATTATGCGAATCAATCTTTTAATACTAAAACTTTTTAATATATGCATTCCCCAACTCAAAACAGTCACCTTGACTGATAGTTCTAGTATTAAAAATCGAGATAAATACAGTAGGTACTTACTGTTCGATGAGTACAGGCTGGAGACGTCGTCTGCTTAAGAAGGTGGTCATTCATGGAACGGATGATATTACTTTATTTGATGACGTACTTAAACAGTGAAAGAACCTCGTTCACGGCGCCGGTCACGTTAACGCAGGACACACTGGCTCTCTCTCACACTCGGAACGTCTCACACTTAACATTCAGTCACGTTCATCTGCTAACGGCCGATTAATGTTCGTAAAAAGGAAAGAACTAGCTTGCAGAGACGTGACTCGGCCCGGACTGGTAACGTTCTTAAATCAGCGATATTTACAACGTCGTGAGTTTCCTCGACGAGGAACTTTCGAACGAGTCCCGCCGCGGGTCGATAATTTAAAGTCGAGGCTGATCATCGTTAGCGACGTTGCCTGGCGGGAATCGTTCGAGGAGAGTCTCGCGAATTATCCTCACTCGAGACGACGGTGGGGTAACGTGCACGCGAGACGTTTTCGCCTAAATAATAATTGGACGCCGTTTACATATTTATGTACATGGAAATACGAACGTAAACCCTGGTTAGTCCTCGAGTCCATGATAGTCCCCGGGGCCTCCGATCCTCCTTCGGGAGACTCTCGGACTCGCGTACGAGCGATATTACCACGGAACGGTCTAACGATCGAAACCCTAAACCGATCCGCCGATAAGGGGACGCCGGCCTCTCCGGGAATTTACAACAGGACTTCGAAACGGGGTTCTGGGTTAGGAAATCGTTTTCGAATATTCATCCTCGTCGAGGATCGTTCAGTACGGTCTCCAGACTTGTCTGGGCTTGGGGCTCCTCTCCCTTCTCCCTCGCACGGCGTCCTTTTCTACGTCCGTGTCGTCCTCCTTCTTCCTGGTGGTTAAATCCTGACCGACGTTCTCCTTGTCCTGTCCCTTTTTCGTGCTGAGGTCCACGGTGCCCTCTAAACGGATTTTCAAATCCCGCCGCGAGATGTGTCCCTCGCTACCGTCCTGATCGTTCGAGTTATCCACGCTGGGTCGCAGGTGGACCGAAGCGTCTTGGAAACTCGCGTTCGTGTCCTCCATGTCACTCCTGACGGACGAGATCCTCGGCGAGTCCTGCTCTTGGATCGACTCGTCTCGGTTCAAATCGTTCTCGTTCCTGTCGTCGACTTCTATGCTGCCGTCGGGGCTGTCCAAGCTCCGGCGTAAAACGCCCTGATCCTCGTCCCGCCGTTTCTCCTCTTTCAACGCGGACTCCGGGCTGCTGCTGTTGTCGCGCAGTTTCCGCATCTCCTCCACCCGGGCTTGATCGGGCCTCTGCAATCGCTGCTGAGCCATCCTCAACGCCAGAGCGTGCCATTCTGGTTCTAAGACGTACTGCTGCGTGTGATAGAGCGGATTGTACAGCCAGGAAGATTGCGGGAGTAACGGGGCGAATATCGACCCGAAAATTGACCCCGTTGCGCCGAGAAGGTGGAGACCTGTTGTTAGAACCATTGACTGAATCAATGCCACGATTCTTTTCGAATGGATACATTTTACAAGATGAGAAATAGATTTAGTAAACAAAATTTATAACTCATAAAATAAGAATTTAACTGGAATAAGAAATACAAAGGATAGTCACGTAACGTTTCTAATATTCTTATGTAAATTTGTAACACTTTTTACTCTGGTTTATCGATAACCAGGCAAAAATAGTGCAAAATGTGGGTCTACGCCATTCGATTCTGCGTCCTTTCAAAATTTTAATAACAAACAATTGAATAAAACGAATGACACATAAAATATTTAAATAATGATGGAACTAAAATTAATAACTCATTGTGTTACTATTTCTCATTTAATGAAGACGATACCTTGGAAATGTGAATGGTGTCCAGAAGGACTGGGGGTGGTGGTGGTGGTGGTGGGTTCCGCTGGAGGCGTGGGTGCCGCGACAGTGGCCGTGGTGAGCAAACCAGGACCTGGATTGCCTGGCGACGTAGCCGGGGTCACCTCCCTAACAGACACGCTGATCGGACCCAAGTCATTCCTCGATGAATCTTTAAAACGGAAATCGATAAATTAGCAGACTAAATAAATCCCACGTGTGAAAATATTTATAATGTCAGAAGTTAGAAGTAGATTCCAACGTTTAAATGATAAGAGAAAACATTTACTTGGAGCACTGAACTGTTTTATTTCGCATTTGATTCATTTTTCATTGACAAGCTACAGTGAGACTTTAGGTAAAATCCTTGAGGATGGAACATAGGTTGAAAGTTTGACGCGACTTACCGGAATTAGGTCCAGGCAGCCTGGGCGATCTCTGCTCGATGCCGTGGTGGAAGGGATTGAAGGCCGACGCACCGGCCGCCGGAGGATGTGTATGCGAATGGTGACCGGGCGGGGGCGGAAGACAGTGCGGCGGAAGAGAACCCCGGGGTAATCCACCCCACCCTTGACCGGCTCCTTGCTCCAGACCCAGGTGCTGCAGTCCTGTGCAATCCAAAAAGATCCGAAATTATGCCTGTCACACTGTCTGGCTCTACGACCAACGTCTTCTAATCGATACAGATATTTCGAGAATAAACTTCACATTCTGTGAACAAATCGTTATCTAAAACGTAGTCCTAAGATCTTTACTTCCTTATCTTAAAGGAGACTGATTTATAATAGAGATTAAGTAACGTAATTTATAGAGGATGGAACAGTAACTTTTAATACTTCCAATCCATACAAATATTTCGAGAATAAACTTCTCATTTTATGAAGGAATTGAAGTAATCCTAAAATCATTACTTCCTTATTTTAAAAGAAACTGATTTATAATAGAAAGTAATTAGAATATTTTATACAGAGTGGACTATGAATATTTCATTTTAGGAGATGTGAGAAAAGTTTATTAACCCATTTGCATCATTCGGAAAAGTGGAAAATTGGTCGATATTAACAAAATTCACATAGTCATCTCCACTTTTTTAAGTGGAATTATTATGTTTCTATGCACTTGATGCAACTTCAATGGAAGTTGATGTCAGGCGAAACTCAATTTTAAATACTCCCTAAACTATACTTTTTTATATAACACACACAATACTTTTTTTATGCACTAGTTGATATATTAACATTCTCTATAAAAAAAAGCCTTAGTCTATTCATGTATGAGATATTTGTACTTTATCTAATTCTTCACTCTCTCAATCCTCCTAAACTAATAAATTTCCGACATACATATTTCTATATGATGTACATCATAATTTCGTACAGAGGATATTAAGCTGCATCAACTAGAAGATAATATATAATTCTCTTTACAAGATTGAAGGTGACTATGAAAACTCTGTAACCCGATCATCTACAAAAATACTTTTATCAAAACATTATAGCCTGTTTTAAACAGAGCAACCTTGGTCCATAAAGTTTCTTCATAGCTCCCAAAATGACGAGAATATTCAAGTGCAAAGAGTTACTGATCTCCCTTCCCCTGTACAGAATTGATTATTGTACGTACAGTTTATTTAAAGAGAAGTGACTTTTGTTTCAAAGCAAGTGGACTTTGATGGAGATAAATCTAGGATGGAAATATTCCTGCTATAAATAACAATGTAAAAATAAAATTCTCTGAAGGAGATCTGGTAACGTTATATAATGTCAGACGGATAAGCGATCACCGGATGACAGATAGAGCAGTAGAAACGAGATCCCTTTGACGTACCGAGCGTTTGACGTGGATGGACAGTTAAATTTATCCAACAGAGAACATGGAAACGATCGATCACCCTTTTTTTTCAATCGTAACCAATACCGCGGTGCCAAAGAAAAGACCATAGGAAAAATCGCAAAAATCCAATTAAACCGTCGACGTTGTAAGAATTAATCTCATCCTCCTCGCGGTTCAACTTCTCTTTTAATTAAATAAAGCCTCCATCAAGGGTTATCAAAAAAAAAGAAGTAACTATTACCAAAAAGAAACTCCATAAAATACTTTTAATTAAGGAGTACCGATGGAATAACATCTTCAAGAAAAAAATAAGACTCCCCAAGGAAAAGGAGTCTTTAATTGAAACGAGATAGAGCGAAGAAGTTAGAAAACCGCGGCGCATAGTTACACGGTGGAGAGGAGACTCGGTGAGAGTGGAGAAGCACAGGAGGGAGTAAAAGTGAAGCCCGGTAGTCATCGGTATGGTATCGGTTTTTCGAAACACCTTGATCAATAGCAGATTATACCGTCATCTGTGCCGGGCAGTTTAAAAATTCCGTGAAAGCTCCGAAGCCACCGGTGTGTTCCTGGCGGGAAGGGGTCGCGACGGAGGGGCGACACGACGTAGGGGAAGCGTCCCGTCGGGGTGGTAGGGAGGGTGGTTTGGTCACTGGGAGGCGGGCGTGGTCTCGCGTACTCGCGGCTGTCGCCATTGGACCATTTTCCATCCCTTCCAACCGGAGCAGGTACCCGACGGGGATGGAAAAAGCTCGGTAGGGGTTGAAGGGGTGATTTTTAAGCTCTCTTTAAGCCGCGCTTGCCAGAAAGGACACCACTATCTCGCGTTCTACCACATCGTCGTGGAACAGCGAGCAACCCGACTGGAAGCTCGCTGAGCGAGGGAGAGAGAGTAAGAGAGGGAGATAGAGAAAGAGAGAGAGGGAAGCGGACGATGATGAAGAGAGAAAGAAAACAAGAGGGAAGGGGATGAGAGGAAGGGTTTGTAGCTGCAGCTACTTTATGAGGGGATTAAGAAAACGATAAGAGGCGCGCGAAAGCTATGCCGTGAGCTAGCTTAAGGAGGCCAAAGGTTTCCCTGTACCTGATGCACCGTAAGTGACGACTCACGGAAAATCCTTCGTCGACCTATTCTCGATACAAGATTCCATTTACTTTAACAAAAAATATTCCATCTATCTCTAAAAGAGTTTATGAAATACATCACAGTTCTAATTGACCTGCGAAATATTTCCTAAAATAAGTATGTATTTCATACTAATTTACTAGCACATATTTGTTTTATGAAATACATCGTAGAATAATTAGAATTTTTAATACGATATTTCCATGCGTACATTATAATTTATCACAGGGACTATCGAAGTTATAATACAATTTTAAAAAGAGCTAAAATATGTCGAATGAAAACCAGCTCTTTGTGCGTCTAATGGAAAAAATCGTAGAGGAGCTTTTCCCAAAGCTTAACTTTGTTCCATTGCAGTTGAGCTAATCCGAGTACTAGGGAAGAGCGTCAACGGAGTTTCGGCATTTGACAGGGGCTCGTATCTATTTCAAGCGGCTCGTAACATACTTTCAATTTAATAAACCTCGAAAACGGCTGCGTGGCACCCTCTCTTTACGGTTCCGAGAAAGAGGAAGCGAGACGGCCTCGCGTGCCGCGGACGGGGGTGGGACGGGGGTGGCGGGCGATAATTCCGAAAACAAATGAAGACTAATGAGGGGAGAAGCGAGGGCGAGAGATCGCCCGGAAAGTAGTCGGGGGGAAAGAGACCGAGCGGGCTGAAAGGGTTTCAAGGAGCCGCTACCCTTTAAGGGGTGAGAAATGTTAAGCTTAAACGTTACGGCCGTAGGGTTAGTTGCCTTTATGTGTACCTTGCATGGGCGCGCGGGAGCTTTAAGGGATGATGTATTATCGAGCAGCCTGTTCAAAATGTGCTCCCGCTGTTTTAGCCACCCTTGGAGCACCGGTCGCGTGTTCGAGTTACTTTTCGACACTCGAAACTTCCCCCTGAGTTCCCAATTGGTTATTGATTGAGGCCAATGCACCGTCGAATCATTTCAAGAAAGAACTTTCCCGGTACAAGTATGACAATCCCGGTAGAAATTCGTTTAATAGATAAAATGGTAGTAGTAGTATAAGTCAGTATTAAGTCAGGCGAGCATTAAAAATGTTAGGTACGCTCACCTCGGAAGATTTTCTGAACTAATTAGAATTGATCTATACAGTGTAGGTATTTACTCGTAGATTTAGAATATTCATAAAATAATTATCACGGATCAACCGTTAAGTCTCCTTTCTCTCCTAACACCGATTTGACTAAGAATGGAATCTAAGCCGCGAGTTACGCTCGTCACATTGCGAAGAAATAGTAGAAGCGAAGGCGGGAGGGACAGGGAGAGAGGAGGAAAGAGTACGCCGTCGGGAAACTTAAGGGTCGTTTAAAGACGTTCGGCTAAAAGGTGATGACGGGGGCTAAGGCACGAAAGTAAAGAGTAAAGCCCGGTTCCGTTCTCGTAGCCCCGGTTAAGACCCCTTCGCGTTGCAGGCGCCTAGCTAGCCCAGAGATACATAATAAATTAATTCACGTATTTTCCTGTCCTCCTTATCTATTCAAATCTATGCAAAACAGGAGTTAAAACGCCCTTCTTACTGTTAAGGCGTTAACCCTTGTGGAGCACTACGAGCGCCACCTTTCTCTCTCTCCGTTCTCTTTTCAGCTTCTTCTTCCCTTCAACCACCTCCGAGCTTCCGCGTCTCTCTTCCGCCTTCGCCGACGTTTCCCAGCCATCCGACCAACCAACCACCCACCGTACTACCTCCTCGGTTCCTCCCCCCTCGACCCCGGTTTCCCACGTCCCAGCTACCGACGGTCGGATGTCTTTGCACACCCACCCTTTGCGCCCGTTCTCATTATCGCGTCGCAGCAACCCCTAAAATGCCACCCTGGAAAGGTCCCTGGCACCGATCTAAGCTCCACGAGGAGATATTTCGAGAAAGGACGAGAGAAAATTACTGTCTCTCTCGTTCTATCACGCGGAAACCCTCTCCCGCGTATCCCCGCCGCGCGTCTCCTTCTCTTATTTACGCTTGCATCCTCTTTGAAGTTACGGACGCGCGGATAAAAACGACGAACTTTTCGAAACGCTCATTGTATCCGCTCTCGCCTTTCGAGTCACGTCGCGCGCGGAAACTCGCGACACTTCGGCTTCCGTTACTACTTCCTTTTTCCTTCGCTCCTCCCCGGATGGCGTGACTGAGTACGGGGCAATGGAAATTGACGAATTCCACGATCTCGGTCTCCGAACTCGGCGCTCGATCTCCTTGAGCGACCAATTCTTCTAAATCGACCGAGAAAAGAGGTTCATTATCCGTTCAATTTTCCCGATTTTGTAACACAATTGTGTAAAAAAGAAAAAATTCTTGTAGAGGATTCGCTTTGAAGAGAATTGTTCAAAGGCTTCAAGTGTCTATACGATAAGAAATGACCAAACGGTACAAATATTCGTGCGAAGGGGATCAACGGGAGCGGAGATAACTTTGCGGAGCAGAACTACCGTCTTCCACGTCGGTGACACAAAAGGAGAAGACGAGGCGGGAGAGGAACGAGCGAGGGTATCATTAGTTACCGTCGCCTCGACCGAAAGCTCCTGGTCACCGGGGCTGATTAAAAGACGGAACACCCGCTCCTGGGACACCCTTGGAAGACGCGCAAGGGAGGGTGAAATGTGACGCGAATTTAAAGGATCCGCCGTGATTTGACGCTTGGGGTGGACACCGGCAACCCTTAAAAAGGGAACCTTCAAGGATCCGGTACCGCATTCGTCAAGGGTTACGCTTTCTCTCTCTCTAGGTGAACGTGAAGGAATCTTTTGAGGATTCGACTCTTCTGAAAGTCGACACCCCTTTCTATCCACCACTGATTCCTTGTACAGTAGTACAACACGAATCTAATTAATTAATGAACAGAGAATACATCAGAAAATGAAATTGACAAGAAGATTAATTAAAATTCCTGTATCAGACGTTTTGTTAGAATTTTTCAAATCCTTGACTTGAACGGTAATGTCCCCTCTTTCGAATCAGACATTCCCGTGATTGAATTTCGCACCGAAAGAGTGACAGGACCGGAGGAAGCAGAGGATTAATGCATTCAGTAAGCGTCAGCGCGCGAGTAGATCCTCGCTGAGATTGCCGTAACGCAACGAAACAACGGGAAACAGGCTGATCACGTGGCTCCCGGGAGGGCGCCTTTGTCAGTCTAGCTAAGGGGATGAAAAATCGCGAAAGCGGCCAGGATTCGAGTTAACAAGAACAGCTCGCGCAGCTCGATTCCTGACCCGAGCCCCTCTCTCCGCCTCGTTCGGTCGTGTTCCGCCACCTTCTACCCTCTAGTGTCAATTAACCGCCTACCAGGAGTCGGGGTGGCACCGGAAAAATCGCAACCCCTGTTTCAATAAGGTGGCCTTTACCTCATTTGGGGGAGATTGTTAGGAGCGTTCAGTCTAAAACTGTCGCCTCGGATCGTTTTACACTTGATTCTCGCCGGTTTTCTTTAAAGAAGACCGATTCATTTCCCTTTGTGCTTCACACTTTTCAATTATTCGTTTGATATATTATAATAAAAAAATGTAGCACTGTTAACTAGAACCACTTGAATGGCTGTGTGTGTTTTTGCCCAAATTTTAAGTTTCGAAGGAGAGATAAAAAAATAAGAAAAGCACAATCAACGACGTCACCATCTGACGAACCAGACAATACCGTCGGGAGTCAGGATCTAAGGAGAACAAAGATAACCTCTGTGTTGGGCTTCATAGGTCCTCCAGGGAGACAGCATAAAATTCAAGCCTCCCCTCGAGCTAGGTCTGAACGAAATTTAATAACATCCCCCTAGTTACACCTCAATGGGCACCTTAACAACCCCTGTTCGGGTAGCCGGCCGCCTCCTGCCATTTCCACCCCTCCCTTCTTATCAACCCCCCGACGCGGATATCTAATAAACCAGCTCTTGAAACGCGTCTTTATCCGAGCGGCGATAGCCACCCTTCGGTTTTCGGGGGGTGAAACTGGCCGAGTGACCGTAGTCGCCGGCTAACTGGACGGAGGCGCAACCTGTGCCACGGGCGTTGAACTACTAGCGAAAGGGTTGAAAAAGTGGTGGACACCGGGAACAAAACCGATCGATATACCGGGGGTGGTGATGTCGGTCGCGACTGCGACCCAGTTACGCGACCACGCATTTCCTTCAATTGAATTTATCCTGGAAGGGGATGGCTAAGGAACATTCTTCCTTACGGTGCCTAAGGATTCCCCTTAATGGAAGGGTTAAAACATGCCAGAATTGTAAGAGATATGGAATGATTCTCATCCCTTTAGTATTTTTCATAATCACCAACAAATTTATAGAAAAACTAACACATTGTATAAAATGGAATAATTGGACACTTCCCATAGAAGAAAATTTTCAGGAAACAGTAAATTCCTATAGTTTTTACAAAGGAAAAAGTGACCCAGTTACACGACCACATGGGATGGCTAAGAACCAGACTTCCTTACGATTCCTGAGACTTGGCTTTAAAGATAAGGGGTTGAAATGCATGCCAGAATTTTTTGTTTTTCTATTCTAAAAAATATGAGATCATCCCTTTAGTAATTTTCCTAATCACAAATAATGTAGAGAAGGGATGCTGGCTTGCACACAGCAGAAGAACATCTCCAGGAGATCGTAAATACAATATGCTGAACTTTTTCTAAAGCAAGAGAGAATTAGTCGCGATTATATGCAGATTCTGTGAAACGAACAATGCGGGAGCAGAAGAATATCAAACTCACAGGAGTTATTCGTCAGCCGCAGAATACCCGACGTACTAAGTTCTATCGCGTCGCCTCGGTATCGGGGTAATTCGATTCGATCCCCGTACGGCCGCGTTACGACACGGGCCGTGCGACACTTCCGCTCGCGATTACCGTGGAACAATTTTATGCAGCCAACAGCCGAGGCGCCGGGAGGGAAATTGTTGCGTCCGTCCTCGTTAGCTGAAATTACAATGGGAAATCCTGAAGGAAAGAAGAGGGCAGAGGTGGGACGGGCGCGCGGCGGGGTCGCGGGTCCTTGATTGAGCAGACCGCGCGGGAGTGGGACGGTGGGTGAAGGTTGGTAGAGGGTGGGTTGTATAGAAGGGCATAGTGCCGAGTGCGAGAGAGGGCGGCCGTCGAGTTTGGCGAGAAATCGACGGCACAGGACTCTCCACGGTAACCCCGGGGGCAGGCAACTGGGGGGAGAGAAGCTCCGTTAAGCCGCTTATCATGCCGAAACAATACACTGTCGGTGCACCAGTATCAGTAGCCGACCCTCGCTGCTCCGGGCTAGTCCCATCAAAATTTTCGAGCTTCGAACGAATTCGAATTGGAATCCGCGACGGCCGACTGGCAGACCCGTCGAATTGTGTCGTCGCAGAAACCGGAAGTCTGCTTTTTTTCTACTCCGATAACGACGAAAATGGATTCGTCTGAATGTCGAACTTTTGTAAGTCCGAATACAACGTTTTCATTTAAAGCTTTTATACGAAATAAATAATTCAGTGTTTCCTAAATACATTTGCAATTTTCATGCACTAAATTGAATCCCATTTGTTATAAAAAAAATATACAGAACGATCACAACAAACTAAATTTCTAATGTTATCCGAATCACCCTGGAAGGGGGTGTTTTTCGCAGATCAGAAGTCTCACACGTCGCAAGGTTTCGGCAACGAAAAGCCGACCTTCGAGACCTTAATCAGAGTCTGCTCCACTTAAGCATCCGGTGGCAAAACTCAATTTTGAGTCTGTTGCCTACCGACGCTCAATTTTGACACCCTTCGTAGCCGCGAAGCCAGGCGACGGCTTGAAAGGAGCGGCGGGCTTGCCTTCGCGACATCCACAGAGAAGGAGGGCGATACGGGGGATGCTAGGTTGCAAACTTAGTTATCCAGAGACTGGCACGGGGAAACGTGCTTGCGAAACGAGAGGATTGACGCTCCCGGTCGCTTCCGTGCGCGCAGGTTGAGAAACCTGGACTTCCGTCGCTGAGGCATAGACTTACCGGACAGTTTGAATCCCAGGGGATCTTGAGGGTGGCCGAACGGGAACGGTCTGGGCCCGAAGTGGAACGGGTGGAATGCCTGGTGTCCTGAAACGCGACATAAATTGGTGAGTTTGTCTCCGTTCCCAAAATTTTTTCAATTGGGATAGACTATTTCCATGTTTTTGGATTTGTAGTTAAAGAACACTCACACAAATACGTATCAACCATATTGTTAAGGTATTCACTATTTATTCAATTTTTATATTACTTCGTTACTTATTGACATGATTGATAAGAAGTGGACAAGTATAGGAAGATTTTCTCAAAGATCGAAACATACTTATTTTAAAACTATCCCTTTGATAACGGTGTTATCAACCGGAGGTAAAATCCTAACACTCACTTGTTTTGGACCTGGGCTCTCTGGGTCCATCCACGGTAACCTTGATTGCTTTCGACAGGGTGGCTATTTGAGGTGGTGACGTCTGCAGCATGATCGTCAGAGTGAAGCTCTTCCCTGAAGCAGAGGTCAGACACTAGTACATACATATAGGATAATGGCGAAGTTATCACCAGGGGGTAATGGTAAATCTTCACCAATTTATTATTAACTTGCTTCCTAATATTATAAAGATACAATGACTTTCTAGAATTCTATTAGTAGTGCTGCTTGATATTAAAATTTTTCAAGCGATATAATTAAGCTTCAAATCTATCATCTATATTATTTATACAATTATTACCAGATAGCGAATTTTTATGCAAAACAACATATTTAGAAGAGATAATTAAATAACGAAATTTAGATGTGGTTTTTATTAATTAAATATCAAAGCATTTACTTTGCTTCCAATACTTCCTATCCTTTTGCACACTCAGTGCAATATTCAAAATTCAGCACACTTATGTATTTTATAAATGCATTAAAATTCGCAGTCTGGTTATCATTAACTAAATAATCACTCAATTATCTCGTTTCATCTTCGTATCAAAAATTCTCTCACAAATCAAGTTCTAACAAAAATATACATCAATTTTATGAAGATCAAGTTCATGTTGTAATACATGACTGAGTATATTTTTTACCATCCACATTACGTAAAAATTATTTTTTGAATAATAATAAGCTGGAAATATGTTTAGGTAACTTTATTTAAAAGGACCACCCTGTATAAGCAAATTTACTTTGGCCTCTGAAAAAACAAAGACCAATCCCAATCACGTAACGCACAGTGAACTGCAAACAGCAAAACTGTTCACCAAAAATTAATCCCCCCCCCTCCCTCCCCGATCCCGGAAACGACGACAAATCGTTGGAAAAACAGACGATCTCCTTAGGCAATTTTCCCTCCCGGGCAACAAACATCAACCCCCGACGGCGAAAGGCGAGCCGCCGCCCCATCCCCCTTCAGTCCTCCGCCGGCGGGTTTTCCGCGAGAAACGCGGCCAACTGTTCGCGAGCGACGAGAGTTTTCGCGGGGGTGCGCTCGCTGGAAACAAAACACAAATGTGCCGGAAGCAAGGGGTGAACGAGTGGCGCCGCTGCGTCGATGTTTGTTCCCCCGAATCGGCCGGAATATGTTAATGTCGGAGGGATGCTAAATGTAGAGGGAGAGAGGCTATGCGTGCCGCGCTCCCATCTCCACCCTCAGGACAACGAATGTAGGCGACCGCTCGTCACGCGTGATTTCGCTCCTCCATCAATGGATCGGTTCGATCGGCGTTGAGAAGCTCGATTTTCCAAACGAGAGACGCAGTTCAAAATTGCGTATGAATATTATAAACTAGCATGCCATTAATTATCGTCAGGCTGCGGATTTTATACATTTATAGAAAAAATGTACAAGAAATGTAAAAAAAATTCATTCACCTTCCAATGACACACAAACATCAAAAGTGTAATGCACATTATGATTTTTAGAATACAAAGGAAATTCCTATTTAGATTCCAATTTCTACATTGAATTACTACGATTAATGGAATATTTTATATAATGATCCGCAATCTGCTTATCGTATGTAGAATTCAAAAGTAGAATAGAAATATTTCAAGAACAAAAGCCAAGTCGCTAAATTATGGAACTTGGAAGGATATTCAGGATTTTGTAAGTACAGATGTTACACTTTTTCACCGCCTTAGTGGATGAGTGGGGTAAAATCCTGAAATTGATTTTTATGTACTTGTTCTGGTAATGTTTGTGAGCAAAAACCAAATGTATAACTCATCAAACTTGAAAAACATTGAAAAATACATGAAAATACATTTCAACCCAGTAGGATATAAATTTTGAAAAATTGTCAATTATAAAAAATTCACAAATTGATTTTTAAATACTTGCTTTCCAGACTTTTGCTAACATAGAAACAAACGCTTTCCCTTTATGATGACAAAATGATAAATAAGCTTGCAAGAACAAAAGCA